CTGCTTCCCAGTTCTGAAAAGCAGTGATGCGTCTTCGAGGACCATACATTTTTGTAGACAGCTCTGCTACTGCATAACTTGGTCAGAACTGACAGCAGGCCTGAGTCCCTGAGGACTAACTGTACCGTAAGTGCTCTTGAGGTTGTTGGATCACACTGGCCTACCCAGTGTCTGTCTCTCATTTGTCAAGTATGTGTTTTTGTCCAGTATGTTCTCTTATCATCTTTAGAATAAAAGACTGTGTGTGAAGAATAGTTCAGTGATCATTGAAGTAATAGCACGTTTGGGGCAAGGAGTAATCCTAATCTTTTATGTAGCTGTAGTGATAGAATGTTTCCACCCTCCCAACCTCTCCCCCATATCAAATATGCCCACTCATGAAGTCCACATTGGCCACTAAGGAATTAAATGAGGTCGAATGGATTCTGAAAAATGCCTGGTTCACAGTGTGGACAAGTTCACTTCCTTGAAAGTATAGGGAGTAAAGCAGGCCAATGGTTGCTGGAACCAGTCCTGACCCACCCCAAGGAGCTGAGTGAAGTGGCAGGGCTGCGGAGGTGGGGGAGGTGAGGTGAGGGGTGTTCAGCTCAGCCTTGGGCTGACTGGTGTAAAATCAGCCACTGGAAACCCTTTGTGACTTTAAAAGTCAGGCCCACCAGGTAGTGTGGTGTGTTCCCAGGATATTAGCAAGGGAAATCTCAGAAGAGTGCCTAACTCAGATGAAGTACATCCCAAGGCAGAGAGAGAATTGCAGGTGGGATTGCTGGCCAGCTGGGAATCATCTTTGTGACATGGTTGAGGGTGGAAAGTTGCCAGAGAACTGGAGAGAGATTAATGTCCTCATTTCCCCCTAAAGAGGAAAGAAGGTGGAGTCAGGAGCTAATGATCCATGAACTTCAAATTGATCTTGACAAAGAACTGTAGACTCGATGATTCAGGTGATGAGGTGAAGCACTTTTAGTCAGCTTAACAATAACCCACAACCTTCGGACCAACTAGGTGAAGCACTTTTAAATGAGAGTGATGATCATAAGAACCAGCCAGGGTTCAGTCAGGGCAAACCATGCCAGACTGTCGTGAGTGCTGCTTCCGGGAGAGTGATTAGAGAAGAGTAGGTTGGGAGCTGCTCCAGGCGTGGCATTTCTGGTTTCAACACGCCATTTGTTACAGTCTGTCAGGGGATTATAGATGAGAGGGATCCATTGGGGTTGGGCCATAGAATAGTGAGAAGAATTCATAAACTTTTGAACTATCATATCTACTAAGTGCTGGTGTCATAAATGCTGACAACTTCCTTACTGCGGGAGGTTTTAATTCATTCATTGAATGACAAATGCCAAATTTTGTCCCAAAAGCCCATTGGTAATTCTTTCTGGAAGCTACTTTTTTGGTGGATACAGTGTTTTTCATGATAAACTTCCCTTTTGTACTCATAATGTATATGCAGTGTAAGAATTTGGGTAATGTGGCTCTTTTATAAGACCGTACTCTTAGAGTTAGGTGAGTTTTGATCTCCATTATAGTAGACGTTACCATCTCCCTCTGTGGTAGGGGGTAAAAGGCTGTGAGTGATGGGTGCTGAGGTGGGCAGGGACCACCTTGTTTCCCAAGGATTGTGGGGACCGGCCCTTCTGTCCATGCCACTCTAGACCCCATGAGTTTGTGTCCTTGACGGAACTGAAGAACACTGGGAACCTCTGAGGATTTGTAAAGTAGAGGAGCAACCATTGGTTGAATCTGTGTTGTAGAAAGGATATTCTGGCTGTAGATTGGGTAACGTTAGAAGAGGGCAAGACCGGAAATAGAGAAATAAAAGGCCATGGTAGTGATACATGTGGGAGAGAATGCTAGAATAGGAAGGAAAAGGAAATGAGCATATTTGAGAGATATTTGGAAAGGTAGGCTTGATAGGACTTGGTAATAAGTTTAAGAAATCTAGAAAGGATGATGTCCATGTTTCTGACGTGGGTAGTTGAGTGGGTAGTGGCACCGTGTACTGTCATGGGAGACAGCATAAAGAGGAGGCAGTGGGGAAGGGCAGTTTGGGCTGCGAAGACTCAGCGGTGCCTGTAGGACCTCAGGTGGAGCTGTCTCGTAGACTGATCTGCTAGATGTAGGGATCTGCAGTTTCAGAAACAGGTCTGGACTAAAGATATAACACTGAGTTTATTTTACATCCACCAAGTGAGGCCCCCTCTAGATACATGTCTTCTCTACAGAGATTCTTTTTTAATTGAGGTACAATTGACATATAATGTTACATTAGTTTCTTATGTACGACATCATGATTCAATATTTGTTTACATTGCAAAATGCTCACCACAGTATGTCTAGCTGACATGTGTCACTGTACATAGTTACAAATTCTTTTCCTTTTTTTTTTTCCTTTTGCTAAGTTACTTTTTTTTAGTAAGATCTACTCTCTTTACAGTTTTCAAATACTCAATTCAGTACTTCTAATTCTGTCACCATACTGTGGGTGCTATATCCAGGACCTACTTATTTTATTTATTTTTAAAATATATTCTTATTGATTTCAGAGGGAAAGGGAGAAGGAAAGATAGAAACATCAATGATGAGAAAGAATCATTGATCAGCTGCCTCCTGCACGCTCCCTACTGGGGAGCAAGTCCGCAGCCCAGGCATGTGCCTTTGACCAGAATTGAACCATGGACCCTTCAGTTCGCAGGCCAATGCTCTCTCCACCGAGCCAAACTAGCGAGGGCTGACTCTACTTATTTTATAGCTGGAAGTTTGTACCTTTTGACCTCATGTAGAGGTACTTTTATAATATTTTACTATATAGTTATTTCCTCAAGGGCATGAGCTCCATAAGTCCAAATACTCATTGAACCCAAACTGCTCTATCTCCATGTGAATGATTGACTTGCAAGGATTCTAGCTCCATGCAATTATGTCTGTAATAAGTGAAGAATAAACACATCAGAATGCCCTAGGCATTTCAAGGCATCCTGCTTCGTAGTTAATTATGGTAGTCACCTGACAAAGTAGAGCGTTTATAAATACCTCATGAATAGTCATCAGCAATGCCTGTTCACTTACTTCAGAGAAATACGGTCTTGAACTGATTTTGTTATTACGTTCTCCAGCCCTGTAAGTCACATTCCCTGGTGCATGAATAATGAGAGAGAGTGAGCCATACATTTTTCAGCTTGTTACCATTTTCTTAAGCAAACCAGATGCTACAGTTGACACTTTCTCGCTGCTGTCAGGAATGGCCATGCTTAGTGTCAAGGCTTATTCTGTCCCGTTGTTTACTTTGGCTTCGGGGCTTGGCTTCTTCCAAGCCATTTGCCTGCCGTGTGGATTCCCACACAGGTGGGACGGACGGATGGACAGACAGAAGGACGGAGCGTGTGTCAGCCTGGAAGTGTGGTTCTTGCTGTGATGGGAAGAGGCGGTTCACCATGATCAGTGGTTGTGTGAGAGCGGGCACAGCCACCTGAGCAGTGCCAATGGCGTGGCTGTTGTCTGTAGGCATGTGGAACCCGCTTGTGCACACAGACTCCCCTTTCCTTATTGTATTTTGCTAGCACTTTATTTCTCAGCTCTACTGTAAGAAAAGTAGATTATAGCTTGAATGAAACATGGGGCAAAGGAATACACTCTGAATTCTGGATTGCTGACTGGAAATAAGATCTCTGTGGTCGAGGTGTCCATGACTCTCTTGTCTGTTAACGTTAAGAACATTAAAAGGGTAGAAAGCTGTTTTGCCTTCGCAGTAAGCATGGTCAAGGGAAGTGGGTGAAGTCAGGAGCCTTTTCCTCCTTATTGTCTGTCTGTCTGCCTTAGCGTTAAGATTCACTGATTCAGGGACGGACTGATTTACAATTAAGCCTGAACTGTGATGCTGTGTGTGTGTGTGTGTGTGTGTGTGTGTGTGTGTGTGTGTATACACGCTGCTAGCACTTTGGGCTTTGTTTTTCCTCTCAGGTTTTGGTTATTTATGCCACAGTATGTCTTCCCACTACAACCTACAGTGGACTTACCCTGGGGCATTCAAATGGGGCTCAGAACTCCAATTTTTCTTTTTAATTAATAATGTTCTCAGGAGCTTAATGAATGCTTTATTTCATTGAATGAAATCAGTGGACACTTAGATGAGTATTTTTGCAAAAATAAAAACCAACATAAACATAAACATTTCTCTCTGTTCCTATCACCAGACTTAACTCTGCCCACGACAGAAACTTACCGTCAGGATAGAAGGGCGTGCTTCGGGGTTAACACTGACTGGATTCCAATCTCAGAGCCACCACATTCTGTCTGTGTGGCCTGGGCAGCCTATTGGGTGTCTCTAAGTCATGGTTCCTTCCTCTCTGGACAGTGGATACCTGAGTTTTATTAGGATTAAATGAGATAATATAGGTAAAGCCTTTAGCGCCTGCATCCAGTAAGTGCTTGATAAAGATTAGCTGTTATCTGCCTCTTTAGCTTACAACGTACCTTCTGACTGCCCCAATGGCCTTACATTTGTCCCTGAACTGTTTTTATGATGCTGGTTTTATTAGAGTTTTTTTTTTCACCTAGTCTACTTTTTCTTGAGGTTTTGCTGGGGCCCTCCATCCTATGTTTTGCTCCTGTGAGTCCTCACCTCTTACTGAGCTCAGTTCTCCAAGTAGAGCTAGATGCCTCTTTGATTCCTTGAAACATGTTCTTCTAAGGGATGTTGCTCCAAACCACTCTCTCTTCTGCTCCCCTGTCTTCCGTTGAATTCATTCATACAGCATGTATGGTTCCTGTTAGTTTCTTTGTAGGAAGTAAATTAAGGCATAGCACCATCATGTAAGCAGCTCACACCAGAGCTTTTTTTCCTTGTGAGGGTTCATTTGAAAGTTTATCTTCAAGGTCTTTTGAAGAGCCCCTTATTTTTTTTCTAACTAAATTCAACTTTCTTCATGTGTTATTTCTTTTTCCTTTGGTCTGCTTTTGTTTGTTTGTTTTGTCATTTCCCTTCCCAATGTGCACCATTCTTCAAGATGTGGATGAGTGCCTGGAGCCGAAGGTCTGCACAAATGGGACTTGCTCCAACCTGGAAGGCTCCTACATGTGCTCGTGTCACAAGGGCTACACCCCGACCCCAGACCACAAGCACTGCAAGGGTAAGTACTGTCGTCACCTCTCTGTTTTGCTTGAACTTCCATTAAGAATATATACTGAGTGGGTTATGATCTCTGAGCACATAATAATATGGCCACTCAGTGTGTGTGTGTGTGTGTGTGTGTGTGTGTGTGTGTGTGTATTAGAGGCTGGTGCAAGAATTCATGCATGGATTGGGGTCAGGCCAGCCTCACCAGGGGAAGGGGACATGGGCGGTTGGTCAGCCTGCCTGCTAGTGGAACTCCTGGTGGAAGGGACAGTTTGATATTAGCCTTTTATTATATAGGATATACACTGAGTGGCCAGATTATTATACATTCAGAGATCATAATAATCTGGCCACTCAGTGTATTAGAGTATATCTATCCTTAGAAAGGGACCCACATTTCCTGTGGTTTATTTTCACTGAGCTACTCAGACCATAGCTATGTACACAAAGGAAGACAGTGTATTTTTACAGAGCATCTGTAAACCATAGATCTGTTTATTTAAGTTTTTCTGTTTCTATAAATAATATGTACAGTTGCACAACTCTGTGAATATATTATACAAAAACATTGAATTGTATACTTTAAATAGGTGAATTGCATGGTATGTGAATTATATCTCATTGAAATTGCTACTAAAAAAACACACACACACAAAAAACATACCCAAGATGTGGGTTTGATCCCCAGTTGGGGCATGTACAGGAGGTAACCGATTGATGTTTTTCTCCCACATCAATGTTTCTCTCTCTCTCTCTGTTTCCCTCTCCCTCTCCTGCTTTCTCTCCCCCTTTCTCTCTCTCTCTCAAATCAATAAAACGTATTCTCTGGTGAGGATTTTTTTTAAAGTCCCTATCTTTTATTAGAAACCTATATATGTACTGTTTTCCTTACTCATCAATCAAAAACCTTTCCTTTTTATAATAATAAATTACATAACATCCTTTTTCTTTAATTATTTCATAATCTTTTCCAAACCACATCTGCTCTCAGATGTCAAATTCTTCCCAGATCATAAATCTCTCCCTTTTCCGTCAGTGCAGCAAAGTTGCTTATCTCACCTTGTGGATGGTCCTAAATATTGTCTTTGTCTTCCCCTCACTAAATATACTGACGGCCTTTATCTGGTTATAAATACATTACCTAATGTGTTAATTTATTTCCGCTTTATTCTTTGTATCTCTTTGCATCTGTACAGTTTAGCACTATGTATCCTAAATTTATAAATAACTAGAGACAGTTGGAGTTGTCATAGGAATATGTGCGAAATTATGAATTATCTTAATTATCTTTCACAGAGACTAATACACTATTTTCATCACTTGGCACAGAGGAGAGATGACCTTTGTCCTGCACACCTGTTCTTTAGAAAGCTTTCTTTTATTGTAGGAGTTTTGTCCCTTCTCTGAAACGAAAAATGCCTTTTGATCTGTAGAACTAAACAGCCTCTATTCCCCTTGGTTATTTTAAAGACCCAGCGGACACCTGATTCAAGATAACTGGTTTGCCTCAAGTTACTCCAAATGTGTATGTCATTACTTATAATGGATTACTTCTGACAGTCTTCCCAGTACAAATGAGGAACTTGTGTAAGATATTTGGCTTACCCTGCCGGCTCTTGGAGCGGAGGGTCTGTTCCCGTGGCAGACCTCGGCACATGAGAATACTTAATTTGTCATCTACTTGGAGAAAATCAAAAAGAGTCCAAGGCACTAAAAATGTTGTCAGGCATTACATGAGATCCAACACGCGACAGGAGCGGTTGTTGGTCTCTTCATACTGAGAGACCTCCAGTATTTTACAGAATGTGCTGACAGAAAATACCGTGGAGGCTGTTCTTTGCTGTCGGCCACTCCTAAAACTAATAGACTGAAGAGTGTTGGAAAGGTATAAAATAATTCTTCAAATGAAATTCAGCTCACTTATTTAATTTCTCTCTTGGTAAGTCAACAGTTGGCAGGCAGGACTTATGTATAAATAAAAGGGATCAATAACACAGTAAGTCAAACAGAAGTTTGTAGGACACTTACTTCTACATAAAATTAAATGGGGGAAAAAGCCTACAAATTCCTGAACTACAGTTAGATTCATAGTTTATGTAAGCTTTTTTTTTTTAAAGAACTTCTGATAACTTGAGACCTTGCTTTTATCAGGATAAAATCAAAAGGTTAATGCCTCCCTGGAGGCTAAGAAATGCATCTTTGCTCAGGAAACAGGTAATTGTCCATAATACTTAGGAGGAAGGACGGATCTCTTGGGAAAAAATTTTAGAGGCATTCTAAATAGGATATTTTTGTAAGAAAGCAATAGTCAGACATTGATTTCTTTTAAGAAACGAAGCCATTTAATCAAGGCATTTAAAAAATTCTCACCACTTTCTCTTTTGATAATCCAGCAGCCATCAATATACCACCATCATTTCATGTGGCTTTCCTTGTTTCTTTTAAATTAAGTTCTGTGGTTAGAGTGTTGGTCCGAGCACCAAATGGTGTCAGGTTTGATTCTGGGTCGGACACATTCCTGGGTTGCAGGTTGATCCCTGGTAATCAATCAACGAGTCACTCTTCTCTCATATCAATGCTCCCCTCTCTCTCGCTCTCGCTCTCGTTCTCGCTCTCCTTCTCTCTTCATCTTTTCTTCTCTCCCCCTCTCTTCTTCCTTTCCCCCCAATAAATAAATAAGTTCAGTATCTTTTAACACAATTGCTTGATATTTTACTTTTTTAGCTGCTTCTAAATACAGGAGAAATGTTTATTTCTCCCCATTACTACCTTCAATATGGTTTTGTTTTTACAATTCTTTGTAGAGTCTTAATTCAGCCTTCTTTCCTGAAATTTCTACATGCTGACAGTTGTCACTGCTTTGTGTTTGAGGTTCTGTTTTCAACTTTCAAATATTTCATCTGTATTTCTGCTGTAGCCCAAGTATGGCGGAGAGATGGCAAAGGGTTTCAGGTTATATTAAAAGTAGCTTTAACTTGCTCACGACTTTATTGTCTATTTGTAACTTTTCCCATTCCATAGTTTAGCTGCTGAGGTTGATATGAGGAACATTAGTGAGCTGAATCACACTAAAATTTAGAGGGTCTCCTATAGGAAGTTTTTGTAATATTACTGTTTTTGTAATATTAGCCCCAGAATGTACTGTAGAGAACATTCCATTTCCCTTTCTCTTTATCATAGAAAATTTTTGTCATTGGGGGTCATGCCCGGAAGGGCGCGCCTGGGAATGGAGTGCCCTGTGGGCAGTGACTTAGTTTCATCTCAGAGTTGAGTAAGATGGATCTTCTAGATATGCCCTCATGTCAAACCATGCTCATTATTTGTAATTACAGATATCGATGAATGTCAGCAAGGGAACCTCTGCATACACGGGCAGTGCAAAAACACCGAGGGGTCCTTCCGGTGTACCTGCGGGCAGGGCTACCAGCTGTCAGCAGCGAAAGACCAGTGTGAAGGTAGGCTAATGGTAACGTGAGCTCCTGTGGTTTTAGCGCGAGACCCCTGGCCTGAAAGAGGTGCCCTGGGGAAACTGAGGCACTGCATGGATGAGACAGGAAGCAAGAAACTTACACTCACGTCAGGAAGGTCAATGAAACAGGATGGAAAAATATTTAAATTTGAAAAATAGGTAATTAGTGATCAAGGGGTGGGGCATTCGTATTAGTAAGGAAAATGACTACTCTACAGAACATGAATTCGGTTGAATTCGGTTTTACTACAGAACATGAATTCGGTTGAATTCATTTGAAAGTCGTGCACACTAGGAATCCTGCGATTAGAAGGACATTATATCAGTCTGGTATGCGCTATGGAATGTTAATGATCTTAACTTTTATCTGTACTCGGCTTTATAAAATTTTTCCTTTAAAAAAAAAATCACTGAAGAAGACTTTTCAACAAGACTGCCGTAGTGTCTCCCTTCTACTCAGGGATCGAGTTTGTGAAATATGTCCTGTTCCTACAAGTGATAGTGAGGAGTTTGGACCTCACTAGGTTTGCCCTTAGACTTAAAGGAAATTTAACTGAACTTAATACAGAAAATCACTTTCGGGTAGTAAATGAATCTGTGGAACTCGTTTCCAATAAAATCTCACTTACAGTAATAGGGAGTGGCCTGCAGTGTGCAACTCTCTAGACCAGCAGTCAGCAAACAGTGGCTTATGAGCCACATGCAGCTCTTTGGCCCGTTGAGTGGCTCTTCCACAAAATACCACAGCCTGGGTGAGTCTATTTTGAAGAAGAGGCCTTAGAAGAAGTTTAAGTTTAAAAAATTTGGTTCTCAAAAGAAATTTCAATCGTGGTACTGTTGATATTTGGCTCTGTGGATTAATGAGTTTGCCGACCACTGCTCTAGACTATCACAGAGTGTCATAGTTGAACGTGTAAAAGAAAGCTAAGATGTTTAGTAAAGGCTTATAAACTCCAGGAACATATTTACCAGGCACCAGTGAACAGTGGGATTCATATAGGCTCTTAACACTTTGATTAAAATTGTAAATTTACCTGATTTCTCCCTATTGGGGGATAAATAGCTTTTTACTAGAGAAGTGTTTCATTCACATAACGAAAAATCAAATCTAAGTTCATTATTAGCCACCTAATTTATAGACTAGTACTTCCTTTGCATGGATGATTGAAAGTATCTTGTAATATGTTTTTTAATTGATTCCAGAAAGGAAGGAAGAGAGAGAGATAGAAACATCAATGATGAAAGAGATAATCAATTGGCTGCCCCCTACTGGGGATCGGGCCCACAGCGTGGGCGTGTGCCCTGACTGGGAATCGAATGGTGATCTGCTGGTTCATAGGCTGATGCTCAACCACTAGCCACAGTAGCCAGGATAAAAGTATTTTTAAAGCATCCCTTCTGCAGGTTCTTTTCCCTCCCCTGCTCACAGATATTGACGAATGCCAGCACCGGCATCTCTGCACCAACGGGCAGTGCAGGAACACGGAGGGCTCCTTCCGCTGTGTGTGTGACCAGGGCTACAGAGCATCCGCCCTTGGGGACCACTGTGAAGGTGAGGACTGCTCCTGATGGTAATGTTCTAATGTTCTTCCAAGGCCTGACGACGGCCGTGAAAAGTTGTCATCAACGATTGAAAACCAGGCAAAGGGTCAAACAAGTGATAAGTCAATCTAATAAACTTTGTGGGAAAGAGTGTGTTTGGGCAACTCTACCATATGGGTAAATGTCCATAATCCAACAGAGTGCTGTTTCAGAGTGGGAGAGGCACCCTTGTTGGGGGGAGCCAGCCATGGGAACCTGTTGTGAAGTTAGTGCCATGGCACATGCTGGGACCTGAACCCGCCCTGCCCTGATCCTGGCCTGGCCAACTGGTTGACCAAGCCATGGATTAAGTTTTGGGTAATAATGGGTGTCATCCAAGAGCATGTACCTTTCTTTGGGCTGTTATAAGGTATAACCACTTTTCAGAAGTTCAGGGTATTTTTTCTAAAAACATCCATTGCGTGAAAAGCCAAACAAAAAACTGGTTAGCCAACTTCCTCATCATTATTAATATGTACGATTATATTCTGTTCCATGAGAAAGCTTCTTTTGGAATATATTATCAATTCTTTTTTCCCCCCATCAAGTCAGGGCTCGTTTTCCCACTGTTCTAGATTATAAATAGGACTGGAGTCCATCCAGCTAAGTCAGAGCTCCCTCTGAAACTCCATTAGTGCTCCCGCCTGGTAATTCCCGTCCAGCACTGCTTCCAGCCCTCCCAGTGTATTTAGCTATAACTAACTGAGCTGTGATGGTTTGCATGCCGCTCACAGCTGCGGGAAGAAGAGCCATCCTTCTGGATGGCTTTTATATTTACATGTGTAGTTTTTCTCTACCACACTCAGCAGCCACTTACTACTAACCTGATGGGGTTAACTCTGTGGTCCTGGTTATTGGAGGTCCAGATGTCCCAACCTTTAAAGGCTCTGCCTCTGACTTGTTCCCCTCCCAGGCACAGGGTCCGCCTCCATGCCTATCTCAGCACCTTTCCCAGCCCTCACTGGGGTTCCTCCCTTCTAATCCCTTACAAAGCCCAAGACAAAGATTCCTGATTTACTCTGACTTCCTGTGGTCCCTCGGTTACAAAATAGTCATCAGCTGGGTGTCCTTCAGGGTTACGGTCTTCACTGATTGGTCAGCGGCAGGGCAGAGGGTCATTAATCATCACAGCTGGCCTTGACGGCAGCCATGGTGTCTCCTGGTCTTGCTGCTTTTCTGGTCCTGGAGCTGAAACACAACTGAGCCCTAGATGTTATCTCCAGTTTGACCAAATAAATGCTTGGTCTTTATGGACCAAATAAAAAAAAAAATGGTGGGAAGAAGTGATTTCTGTCCTTGTCAGAATCATTTATTTTATACATTGGTTCAACAATATTCATTGTAAGCACAGAATATAGAGCAATGAACCAAAAAGACAAAAGTTCCTGCCCTCATGGAGTTTACATCTAGTGAGGGAGATAACAGTAGACGATAGGTACGTAAAATGCCTACACCTAGGTTATGAGAGTGGTCAGAAGAATGTTTCCAGATTTGTCAAAACTCTTTAAAACTAGGTGTGTCTATTGTATGTAATTATACTTCAGTGAAGTTGGGAAAACACATTAAAGAAAAGGTGACAACCCACTTACTTGGTGAAAAAGTCACATCAACCGTATTTTATGTTTTAGGATCAGTATTTGGAAACACTCTAAATCTGGGTGAACCTCCTAATATAACTTGTTTGTACTTTGATAGAATGAAAGTGTAAGGTGCTTATTTCTCTTTTATTTCCCCGGTGACTGGTACAGAAGCCAGTTAATTGGTTGATTGGGTTCTGTGGAGAAAACTTAATTTGGTGCCTCCATCTTTTGAACCAGACAGTGAGAACTAGGCTCCCACAGTCTCCGTATTCACTTCCTCCTGGAGCTTCTCATATAGTTTAGCAGCGATCACAGTTATTTGCAAGAAATGCCATAATATGCCAAAATCTGAGAAAACAAAGACGGTTTAGTCCCTTAGCTTTCTTCACTACTAATCATATTAAATCCTCTATACTATACAAGGGAAGAGGGACGCATGGCGTGTGTTAGGGATAATAAATTCAGACTGGGAGTGAGTGTGGTACTGAACAGCCCTCTGGAAAGTCCTGCCCTGTGATCATGCTATGGTGGGGGGAGGGGGTCCTTAATTGTCTCACATGCCTACAGTCAAAAACTCAGTAATGGGCATGTAAACCATTTTTAGTTGCACATATACTATAAATATATAATTTTAACCCTGTGAATTTCTAAATAAATTTTTGCTTGTACTTGAGTCAAAATATATTTGAATATATATATATATACACACACACACACACACATACACACGTGTGTGTGTGTATGTATGTATGTGTGTGTGTGTATGTATATATATATATATATATATATATATATATATATATATATATATATATATTCAGAACTCCAGGCAGCCTCCAACCTGTTTGTGACAGCTGCTGCCTCAGTGACTTCAGCTTTGATCTTACTGAGTCGCTTTCTGCCAGAGTCCCTCTGCTTCCCCCTCCTCCTGCCCAGATTGCTGTCAAGACTCCACGGACATTCCTTTTGCTACAGCGAGCCCTCTTTTGACCTTGACATCTCTTCTCTAAATTCACATGACACCTGAAGTTGTTACTATTCTTTTGTTAAATAATTACATTTTTGACAATCTTTATGTTAAGTTATTTTGGACTTCTAAGACAATTTAATGTTTCATGTGCTTATTACTACAATTTTTTTTTTAAACAGTCCTTTCTCATTAGGGGCAGGGACCATGCAGATACTTTTAAATTTTTCCTGTAATGCATAATACAGCATCATGTAAAAATAGATGCTTACGATATTCTTAATAGTATGTATTTAAGGAATGCTTTTTATTCTCTGTCATCACTGAGAATATAGCCAAGTAAATTACTCTTTGTTACAGAATTTTGACTTTTCCCTTTCCAATTAATTTCATTTGATGTTAAAACATCAGATTCTATATTATTCAAAGTTAAATTTTTAAAAAAATGTTTAATTTTTTTAAAAAACTCTTGAAATTAAAAAGCTTGTCACTCATTTCAAACCATGTGTTATGAGTGATGTAAAAAATATACATGTACGTGATTTTTCTGTGTAAATGTAGGGGGAAATACCTACTTGCTTAAGCTATAATTTATTTAATCTTTAAAATTCTTAAATTGATTTGCAGATATCAACGAATGCTTGGAAGACAATAGCGTTTGCCAGGGAGGAGACTGCATCAACACCAAAGGGTCCTACGACTGTACTTGTCCAGGTGGCTTCCAGCTAAATGGCAATAGAAGATGCCAAGGTACTGGTCTCCTCCTCTTCCTCATCATTTCCACAGTCCTTCCATTCTCCGTGCTTCCTGACTGTGATCTGGGGTTGTACCGCTCGCTTTATATGTAAATGGCCTTTGCCAGTTTGTATTGTTAAAATGTCTTTCTTGGGCTGGCATCGAGTAGGAAGTCCTCTTTTGCATGGCGCCTTGTTATTAACGAAAGGCCTATGTCTTAGAACTGTGTCCTCGCTCTGCATGCTGTTAGCAACCGCTGAGGTCACCTGCAATCTGCTGTTGTTGTTTTTTTTCCTGGGTCAGTCTTGGAACTTGATTCCAAATTACCTTTCTAGTTTTTCTATATCCTTGGTGGGCATATTTCACTTGGTCACATAGCTAATATTTATCTTTTTCCTTATCTCTGTTTTTATCCAGTAGCCAGAGTTTTATCTTCCTAAAAAAAAAAACAAACACCTCATTAATAATTTGATCAAGTCCAGCTAAGATGGCTCAGTGGTTGAGCATAGATCCGCGAACAAAGAGGTCCCTGGTTTGATTCCTTGTCAGGGCTCATGCCCAAGTTGCGAACTCGATCCTCAGTAAGGCAGCCAAGTCAATGATTCTCTCTCATCATTGATGTTTCTGTCTCTTTCTCTCTCTCCCCTTCCTCTGAAATCAATAAAAATATATCTTTAAAATATAATTTGATCAAAATTATGGACAGGATTTTATTTTATTTTTCAAAGTGCCATCATATGTAATGTTCTAAACAACAGTACAGTGGACTAATAAGAACACAGCACTAATTACAACAATAGCTTTAATATCTACTATATGCTGAGTACCTCGTTTAATTCTTACAAAATTTGAGGTAGGTTTTCTTACATTTGTTTTGTGCATAAATAAGTGATGCTCAGAGAATTGAATTAGTGTGCTCTTCTCGAATAAGTGGTAGAGCTTTGAACCCAATATCTCCTCTCATTACTCTTGGCTCTGCTGCCATACCAGTTATTATTGCATTTACAGCAGAAAGAAAGATGTGAGATTCAGTGTTTTTCTCCATGTCATGCATTGGGGCATGATTGATGCTGGGATGAAAAATTAGATTGTTTAGATCCCGTGTCCCAACATCTTCAGCTCTATCTGTCTGCCCCACAAGTTTTCCATTGATCTTTAGAGAGTAAGGGGAGAGGAAGGGAGGGAGGGAGGGAGGGAGAGAGAGAGAGAGAGAAATCGATGTAAGAGGGACACATTGATTGGTTGCCTCCTGTACATGTCCCCCTCAAACTTGCAACTGAGACACGTGCCCTTGACAGGGATTCGAACCCACCATCCTGCATTGCACAGGCTGACACGCTAACCTCTGACCACATGAGCCAGGGCAAATTATAGTATTCTTGAAGGGAAGATGGTATAATCTTTAAGATGTGGTACTGGAATAATATCATACCCTATATTCGTATCACACACCCAGCTGTATGTCACTGAGATACCAAAAATATGAGCCTTTGTCTCAAGATCTTTTAGTTAATTGCCTTACTAATCCCAAGACTTAAATACACTGCTATTTACATCATTTAATATCAGACACTTGGCATCATGATTTAATAAAATGAATTGAAGTTTTCCAGTACTTACAAAGCAGAATTTAAATGTACTTGGATTTAATGCAGTAGAGAAGGGACATTTGAATAACAAATCTGTGTGAAATTATCCACTTTGGGACTTACACATCTTAACAAAATGAATCTTGATTTGCATAAAAATGCCAAGAAATGCCTGGAAACAAACAAAAACAATCTGAAACCTGTTTTAAATACAGATTTTCTTTTTTCGGTTGAAAAGTAATATTTTCTGTTATCTTTCATCACAATTTTTTTTTTTATACCAGATAGAAGCAAAACCAAGTCTTTGCATAAATGGACCATGATTTGATATTGCAAATTTTATTATTACACTGCTGGAGTTAAATCATGAGGAACTAATTTAGTCATTTATTAATTGCACTACTATCAAATTTATTTGTCATTTGATATCAACTCTCAAACATCTGACTGCTTCAAACATATGATGCTTTATTGATTATCATTATTAAGTTGACTTCATTCTCCGTCACCTTGGTGATTCCTGCACTCCAGAATGAATTAACATGTCAGCTTAAAAAAACTGAAATCCAAATGAATGAAAAGTATTCCTGAAGCCGGTATTAATATCTTTTAAATATTATCATCTGTGAATCTGCTCTGTCACTCACTGTCTCCTGTCAGAGGCTGTTTATGATCAGAGGCGTGTACAGTCACTTTGTTTTGAATTATCTTTTTTTTTTTTTTTTTTTTTGCTATGTTTTTGGAGGCAACTTTGTGGTCTTTCACTCTGCTTGAAGTTAGTAGCCTATTTCTGTCTAACCTACGATCATGTCACCATTCTGAAGGCGGGTGTAGATTTCAATTTGTTTTAATGCTGAAAATATAATAACAATGTGTATTAGGCATAAACGTTAAACCTTACCTCACAGTGCGAAGAAAGTTCTGTCTCAACAAGTCACTTTTCAAATGAAAGTGTATTTAAGATTCTCTTCTCCCAGCAAAATTAATGATGATATACAGGCAGCATGGAAACTCCATGTTAATCGACTCCTGAGGAATGTGGCAGCATACATTTTGAGATTCAGAACACACTTTAGTTTCACGTTTTGACTTACACGCGCCAAATTGCGAATTTCTGTGGAATCTCAGACCCGGGAAAGAAACACAAATATAGCCTGGCTTTCGGCTGAGTTACTAGCAGCAGAGCTTAGAAATGGCTCAGTCAGTACAGCCCAAATTGAATGCATATGTTTCTCTAGTTCCAGATAGTCGTGTTGTTCTTTCTTAGTGGTTTCCTGGAAAAAAAAAAAAAAAGTCTGGGAATCCATTTTCAGTTCCTGTCATCAAACTTTTTATACAATTATTTGTTAATCATTGACTGCTCTTGAAGCACGAACTTGATGCACATCATTCCCTCTGAGAAGTTGCAAAGCAGGCAGCTTTTAAAAGGCCACCTTGAGGAACTGGATGAACTAAGGAGGTGGTCTCAACCGCGAGGGCATGACCTTGGGCTTGACCTCTAGACCAGTGGGACTTTTTGCGTAGGTAGAGATGACTCTAGGCAGCAGGTTGGAAAGAAAGAATAGAGCTTAAGGCTAAAGAGAAGAGCAGAGATCAAAAAAGATTGCCAATCAGTAGTTAGAGACTTTTATAATAGAAGTGAAAAAAATGTTTTTCAGTGTGCAAAATTGAGAAATAGTTAAGTAGAAAATGAGTCATTCCTCTCCCTTCAACCGTCTTGAAATCAGTGACAATAACAAGCATGGGAGGATTATTAAAAAAAATGAGTAATTGCTGCTTGTTTTTTTTTTTTTTTTACTTTTTAAAAAAATATATATTTTATTGATTTTTTTACAAAGAGGAAGAGAGAGGGATAGAGAGTTAGAAACATCGATGAGAGAGAATCATTGATCAGCTGCCTCTTGCACAGCCCCCACTGGGAATGTGCCCGCAATGAAGGTACATGCCCTTGACCAGAATGGAACCTGGGATCCTTCAGTCTGCAGGCCGAAGCTCTATCCACTGAGCCAAACCGGTTTCGGCATTTTTTTTATTTTTTTATTTTTTTATTTTTTTATTTAGCAATGGACAGGCCAACTAGTCTAAATTATATGGCAGATGGTAGGATCCATTGTTCAGGATTACTAGATCCTGGATACAGGGGGAGGGATGGCTTTTTTGAGAAAGGGAACAGCAGGGTTGGTGGCTAAGCATGTGCTAGAGGTCACTAGGAAGGTCGTGCTTTGCCGTCATCCATGTGTGTTCTTGCCTCCCCTGTTATATGGTGAGCTTCATAATGTCAAGGGTTCTATCCTATTTAACCTTCTCACAGGCAGCATTCAGGAAATGTTTTTCATTGAACTAAAAATAGACTCCTCCTACCAGGAAGTGGCGAGGACCTCACTAGTAAGAGAGAAAGGATGGCCTAGGACACTTTAGAACAGCAAGAGAATCACCTTAGGAGGACTACTTGCCTGGATGGTACCAAGGACCTGTGATAGTTTTTAGGATCCCTGCCCCTTAATTAAGTGAACTAGCCAGTTGCTGTTCAGTTGATAGAGTATGAACATGACCAAGATGTTATAATAGACACACATTCATGATACACTGTTAATGTGCTGTATGAGAAGCCGGGGACTCAGTTAAAACATGTAGTCTCGTTAAGGAGCAATCAATGTAGTGAAGGACATGGGTAGGGAGGGGGTGAGGGGGTGTAAGGAGAGATTAACCTTAACTAGGGAACTTCTTATATGCATGGACACAGACAGTAGTGTGGTGAATGCCTGGGAGGGGTGGGTGCAGGGTAGAGGGGGTCAATAGGGGGAAAAAAGTGGGGGGACATCTGTAATTCTTTCAACAATAAAGATAAATTAAAAAAAACACACACACACACAGTGCAAATAGGCAGTTTTCTGTGTTAATACCATTGTGAACAAATGAACCATTCTCCAGGATTCCTTATGTTGTCAATTTAACCTGTGCAGTTAGAACTGGCTTGAAAGAGCATCATACTTCTGCCAAACTCTTCATGCTTTATCACGGTTCAAGAGAGCATCATGGCTCTGGCTACAGGGAGCAATAGCACTGTTCATTGGGGACCGGCAGAGTGTATGGTGGTCAACACAAGTTTAACTACAGCATGATTTGCTCACATGTCATCACTGTAGCCGCTACCAATCTTTGACCTTTAGTTGTGTGCTAGGCACTGCACTAAGCAGTGGACCCTCATTCACCCATTTCATCACCATCAAGTTGTGCAAATAATAGAAACTTCCTGGTCTAAACCACCTTCTTTTTCATGTATTTTCATTCTTTTGTCCATTTTCAAGGAAATAAAGATGGGAGCCTATTTTATGTATATTGTCAGCAGACATTTGTGAAGTGCCGTTTAAGAACCAAATGCAATAAGAAGTTCACATCCTGGCGATTGGCATGCATGGATGTTACAAGGCTACCATTGAGTTGTATGCACGGCAGTGGGAGTGGGCAGAGGAGCACACAGCTTTCTCACCGACAAAGAATATTTCAGAGAGGAGCTGTCAATTCTGTGAGCCTGTTCCTCAAGTCTAAAATGAGGCTGGCTTTGGGTTGAACCTACAAAATTGCTATTTTTTGGGGGTAGGTCGGATATGATGGAACTTTGGCCTCAACTTAAATAGTTTCATGGCATCTCCACTTTGTCCTGAGGTCTGGTGTTTGTACAAATGGTGTGATTGTGCCACACAAGAGGTGTCCAACCATTTGGTAATAGATTTGTGCTCGCTCGGCAGCACATATACCATTTGGTAATAGATTTCTCTACTGTACATATGGTATTATAGGGGGTGGGAAAACAAAACACCATGCAGTTTTCAAGAATTTGGAACTCTTTTCAATCCCAGACATTAATGAGTGCGAGCAGCCCGGACTCTGTGGCCACCGCGGAGAGTGTCTGAACACGGATGGCTCTTTTCACTGCGTCTGCGAACAGGGCTTCACAATCTCTGCGGATGGCCGGACGTGTGAAGGTAAGATGAACATGAGACATTCTGTTGTGAATGGCTACTTCCAATGAAACAGGAAGAGATGGTCCCAGGCATCAGGGTGACTTCTCCCAGGAGTCCTCCCTCCGGGCTGCTGGGATTTACAAGGGATAAAATACTCATGGATGACTTCACTGCTGGTCCTGAAATTAATGAGTCAACATGCACAGGAGGTGATGATTTAGGTGCACGTGGGGGACCTCGAGGAGAACTGGCAACCCCGGGGTGTAACCTGACACGGTGCCTGTTTGGATTATGCTCCATATAGATCATCTCCATCCTTCTGTTTATAAAAACAATGTCTCGCTAGATTTCTCTGCACCGCTGCCAGTAGTGGCTTTCCAGGGTCATTCCTCCAAGGAGCCCTAGCTCCAGGCCAGACTATTTTTTTTTTTTACCTGTCAGTATTTATTATCCCCTGCAAGCTAATTCAGTGAAGATAACACTGTTGGCTTCCTGTTTGCGACCTCTCTGTGTTTGCAGGGATACAGCCCTGGTGATAGTCATAAGATTTATGTCCTCGATGACATGGTAGTTTGATAAATGGAGGAGTAATTCATCGGAACTTTTTCAAAAGAAAAAACGAGAAGATTCCCATAATCATCCTCTCGATCTACCTCTTTGAGAATGTGGGTTAGGAAAACCCAGCTATGCCGTGAGGAAGTAAAACGGGGAGGCTCTGTCCTGGGGCTAGGAGAGAACCCACATTCTTCAGCGGGAAGTCTCTGCACTTGCTCCTTGCTCACACCACAGCGGAATGGTCTGAGGAACAGCCACCGGGTTCATCTGAAACTAATTACCCTGCTGGGAGGAATACACTGATCTTATAAAAAGCAGGAGATTGTTGAAATTGCTCTCCTGCTGAGCAGACAAAACAGTGATGCCAGATTTGGCCTCCAGTTAAAAAAAAAAAAAAAAGAGAGAGAGAGATAGTGCAGTGTGCGGTTTGAGCAAGCAGATTTGGAGGGTTTTGGAAGTGCTCAGAAGTTGGGAAGGGGAGTGAAAACATCATAAAAAGGTGGCCAGGAGAGATTTATGAGGACGCCATGTTTCTTGGTTTGAGGTTTAGGTTAAGTTTATACCGAGAGCTCTGAGACTTTGGAAACATGCAGGAACGCGTCCGTCCTCTGCAGGGAGGGGGCATCCGAATCCCCGGTGAAACCGGATTGCGGAGGGCACCTGTCCCTGCATTCCGGAAAGATGCAGGCTGGCTCCTCAGCGAGCTCTCCGTCCCCGCTGGACAGGGCTCCCTTCACAGGGAAAGAGTGCAAGTCAGACCCGCCAATAGTTGTGCCATGAAAAAAAAAAACTATATATATTCTGTTGTTCCAGAAGAATATACCAATGTAAATATATTCCCATTTATTTTTTCTCTTGGACTTAGTCGTTTTCCTTTAAGTCTCTATCTTTTTTAATACTGATTATTTTTAAAAAATATGTATTTTATTGAATTTTTACAGAGAGGAAGGGAGAGGGATAGAGAGTCAGAAACATCAATGATCTCCTGTACGCCCCCTACCGGGGATGTGCCCGCAACCCAGGTACATGCCCTTGACCGGAATCGAACCGGGGACCTTTCAGTCCGCTGGCCATTGCTCTATCCACTGAGCCAAACCGGCGAGGCCTTAATACTGATTTTTGCAACTCCTGAGTGTTTATTCACTTTAATTTAAGTGCAGTTCTAATTTTTTAAAATATATTTTTATTGGTTTCAGAGAGGAAGAAAGAGAGAAACATTAATGAGAGAGAATCATTGATCGGCTGCCTTCTGCATACTCTGCACTGGGAATCCATCCTCACCCCGGGCAGATGGCCTGACCTCCTGATTTATAAGCCACGTGCTCAACAACTGAGCCACACCAGCCGGGCTGCCGTTCTAGCTCTAATTCTTGTTAGGCGTTTGCTTAGCAAAGACTTAAACTTCAAAATGAGTTTTTAGAAAATGTCTAGTGTTTTGTAAATTACTGTACCTTGGTATATGCTCTTTCTGACACTTTGCTCATTCTTCTTTTTTTTTTTTTTTTTTAACTCTGGAACCTGGAAAATTTTACAAGTAATAAAATAGGATCATTCACAATATTGTGCTGCCATAGGGCAGAATTACTAGAACTCTCCTAATTATTAGGCGTGTTATTCTCTTTTTAGAATAAGCTCTTCAAGGCTTTCATTTAGTTTGGGTTTAACCCAATAGTATATTAAACTGGTCCACATTTCCTTCTATTGGACTGAAACTCGTGGCAAGAGCAGTGGGTCCTGACTCTGCCCCTGGCCTTGGCCTAGGAGGAAGCCAGGCCATGTGATCGGGAATTACCTGTGCACCTTTGGTCCTTGAATGACGTCATTTTGTTCAATGTCCTTTTGCTATGACCTTGATGAGATACCATAGGAGCTTAACTCCTATTTATTATATCAGTCAGCCAATAGTAAAATTGGTTTCGTTGTATGTTGTTTTGCTTCGAGTTGTGGAATATGTTGACGATGTTCAGCGAAGATCTATATTGTGCTTGAATTCACATTGAGAACGCGTTTGGCACTCGTATTCATGCCGCTTCCTCAGCCTCTGAACATCTGGGAAAGCCGCTGAAGCCACATGGATGATAGGACTGGCACCCCCTGCTCCAGACAGGGCTAAGGGGATCCCACCCCCTGGGGAAGGAGGGCCTTCCCTCGTTTCCCGTGGCTCAGCGATGTGGCTGCATCTGGCCACAGTCACGGAGACCAGTGAGGAAGCTGCCTCTGTCAGCATGAACCATCTCAGGTGTCCAGTAGCAGGTTCCATGGAAATAAACCCAGTGCAGCCGGCTGCCTCCCTCCCGGCTGTTGGTGGCTCTGGGAGCACCTGCCTACGACAGAGAACGATGGTGCTGGACTGGAGTGGGAAGTCAGTGGTGAACGAGCAGCTGTTGTATTCATGTATCCATTCACTCCAGAAATATATACAGCGTGCCTATCCTGGGCCCCCATTGATACTGTTCTGCCGGTAAAACACACACAGTTCTTGCCCCCATGGAGCCCACACTCCAGGCTGGGGGTCGGGGATCAGTAAGTAAATGGGAGAACATGGTGGTTTTGCATTTAAATAACACAGCATAGTTCTACTCTATGGATATTAACACCAAGATTTTTTTTCTCAAGTCCCACCCGTGGACATCACAAAAGCATGGGGTCCAGGACCCTTTGATTGCTGCCTCCCCCTGGGTGCTTCCCCTTCTTCTCATAAGGGTGGCTCCCCTGCTCCTCCACTCCTTCGTGTCTTCTGCCAGAGCCGTGATCTTGTGTAGAAAAGCAAAGGAAACGTTGACCTATTTCCCTAGGCCCACCATTTTATATCCCAGCCCATCACACCCATTTGTAAAAGTGCCATAATTCTTTTGCCCTCTTGCTATCTCTCTCTCTCTCTCTCTCTCTCTCTCTCTCTCTCTCTCTTTCTTCTTCTTCTTCTTCTTCTTCTTCTTCTTCTTCTTCTTCTTCTTCTTCCTCCTCCTCCTCCTCCTCCTCCTCCTCCTCCTCCTCCTCCTCCTCCTCCTCTTTCCCCCCGTGTGGAATTTTAATGCATATGCCAAGTATCTGTCATCCCATTTATGAAGTGACTCTGGGTTTTCTTCATCTCCAGCAGAATTGTGTGAGAGGGAGGCAATAAGGAAATAGACAGCAGATTCCTAAGTGTCACCTCCTCTGTCCCCTGACACCCTGGAGAGATGTCTCCCTGAGGCTGACTTTGCATCACTCCCCTCACCTGTCTCTTTGCCCGCTGCTCTCTCAGTGGGGTGTCCAGGCCGAGTGCGAGCTGGAGTTAGGGACACCAGACACCTCTAGACTCAGCATCTTTCCAGCCTGTTCACACGACAGCATGGCCACATGGTCCAGCAAGGACCTCAAAGAAGCCTAATCACGCAGAGGGAGCAAGAGTGGCTTTCAGAATCTGGTAGTGTTGGCTCATTAGGCCTACCAACCAACACCAACATCACCCCCTTAAGCCCTGCCTTTTCGAGAGCATCCTCGGTCCTTCGTTCTTTTGGCAAATATTTCTTCGGTGTATGCTGTGTGCCAGTCGCTGCGCCCGGTGGGTTTATAAGAGCAAAGTTGACATTTTGTGTCTGAGTGCCGAAGGAAGCCTTTCTCTTTTAAACCACTTGTCCGCTGGCTAAGTGACAGGAGCCTTAACAGACAGGGGGGCCTGCGGTTCTCTGCTCTGGGCCTTTTCCTGGTGCCAACAGGAATCCTGTTGTCCAAACAGGGAATGGAAAAGGCAGAGCCGGACAGCAAGAGCAAACCCTCATGTCAGCTATGGCCTCTGGGTGACGGTGATGTGTCGCTGTCGGTTCGTCATGGTAACAGATGTGCGGCTCTGCTTCCCAGTGCTGATAGTGAGGAAGGCTGGGGGAGGGTGCGGTTGGGGAGTCTGGGGGAATATGGGAACGTTCTGTGAAATTTTACGGCGAACCTAAAACTGCTCCTAAAAATAGTCTGTTTTTAAAAGTCAGGCATTTCTGGAATTACCTATTTTTCACCAGAAAAGTCATCACCTTTCATTTTAATTCTGTTTTCTATTCCTATGCTATCCTCCCCTGCTGTGGTTGTTTATTTCCCACTTTTCAAAATCAATACCCCAGACAGACCTTGTGATCAGAAGCTTCTGCTCCCACTTTCTAAACCAGTGGTGGGCAAACTCATGAGTCAACAGAGCCAAATATCAATAGTACAACGATTGACATTTCTTTTGAGAGCCAAACGTTTTAAATTTAAGCTTCTTCTAATGCCACTTCTTCAACATAGACTCGCCCAGGCCATGGTATTTTGTGGAAGAGCCACACTCAAGGGGCCAAAGAGCCGCCTGTGGCTCGCGAGCCGCGGTTTGCCATGGTTTTAAGCCATTTGAACATGGATTCACAAACAGAGCACCACAGGATTGGGAGGGGACTTACCCATAATGCCCAGCCCCAACTCGGAACCCTTAAGTGCGCCAAGGTTCAGGTCCTGTGGTT